CGGCCCCCCCCCCCCCCGGGCCGGCCCCCCCCCGGCCCCCGCCTCGCCGCGCTCCGGCGCCGACCACAAGCCCCCGCAGCCCGGCTCGACGACGACGACCACGGCCGCCGCCTCCTCTTCCCCCTTCTCCCCGCCTCCCGGCTCCAAGTTCAGCAGCTCCTTCGCCATCGAGAGCATCTTGAGCCGGCCTTTCCAGCCCTCCCGGCCGCGGCAGCAGCAGCACCCACGCCCCGCCACGCCGGCTGCAGAGAGGGCCCTGCTGTGGTCCGCCCCGTCGAGCTACCCTCGCCTTCTCCCGCCGCCTGCCCTGCCCTACTCGCTCGTGCCCCCTTTCCAAGCCGCTGCGGCCTCCCCTCTCTACCCCTTCGGGATCCCCGATCCACTGGCGCTAGAAGGATCCCGGCGAGAGGCGCCGACCCCCGGCGACCCCCAGCCGCTCTTCCCCCCCAAGACTCCGCCGGAAGCCCTGCAGGGGGTGCCGCTCGGCCTCTCGCCGTTCTACTGCCCCCTCCGGCTGCCCGCGTCACTGCAGCAGGTTGCCTCCTACCGGCCTTATTCCGTGGAGACCCCGCCGGTGTGATGCTGGAACTCGCCAAAAAATGCCCCTCCCGAAGGGGTCACTTGAGGACAGGACACCAGACCGTCTTCTTCGCACCGGTCAGACGCAGAGGCTGAGCACGGAAATAGCAAGACTGTGCCTTAGCGGCGGATTGCCCTTGCGACCAAAAAGATGGACTCAAGCGGCCCCTTTGGTTTCTGGACTTGCCAAATGGACCGCGGTGCTTGTTACTGACTGGCTGGACGTGATTCCCTACCGAGGATGATCTGTAGGGTGTTGGGGGGGGGGGGGGCAATTGCCTCGTCTCTTGCTGCCGCAAAAAACTTTTTTGTTTGGTTGGTTTTTTTATGCCATGCGCAAAAAGGCCCCGGCCCGCACAAAGCGCTGGTGTGCGAGGACGCCGGAGGGCCGTTTCCTGGCGGCAGGCAGTGAGAGGGTGAAATCCTGACTGGGCTGCGACTCTGGAACCACTGGTTGAAGCGTTCTGTGCGAGTCCACAAAGTGCTTACTCTCCCCCCCCCCCCCCCTATTTGCAGAGTGTTCCCGGTCTGTTTGAACGAGGCTACCGTATCCTGGCAGCCCAGGGGTACCCCCGCAGCCTTGCAAGTCAGGCTGATAGTAGCCAGTTTGGTGTCGTGGTCTCTAATCTGGGAGAACCGGGTTTGATTCCCCACTCCTCCACTTGCACCTGCTGATGTGACCTTGGGTCAGTCACAAGCTCTGGCACAGCTGTCCTTGAAAAAGAGCAGTTTCTGTTAAGAGCTCTCTCAGCCCCACCCACCTCACAGGGTGCCTGTTGTGGGGAGGGGGAGGGAAAGGAGTTTGTAAGCCGCTCTGAGACTCCCTTGGGTAGTGAAGGGCGGGGTAGAAATCCAATCACTTCTTCTTCTTCATGGTAAGGACGCAGAAGGGAAGCTACTTTTTTGAGAGGGATAGAGGGGGCGAGGGCAATTCGAGTAGCTCCTAAGCGGCAGAACACATTGAGAGTCCAGGGGGGGCCAACAAAGTTTTATTCAAAGTATGAGCCTTCGTGTGCACGCACACGGTCCGAAGAAGCCTGCGTACACACGACAGCTTACACCCAGAATTAAACCTTGCTGGTCTTCAAGGTGCCCTCCCCACTCTCAATTTGCTCTGTTGCTTCAGACCAACACGGCTACCTCCCCCCACCCACCCGGACCTACAATTACTGGGGGGGGGCGAGTCCTTCCGTTTCAGGGGGCCTTACTCCCGAGTAATGCATCAACTCAGGCGCTTGGACTGCGATCCACGAATCAGGGCCTCCGGCAGAATCCTAGAGTGTGGGGGCCGAGCGCAGCCTTCCACCGCCTACCTGTCCCAGGGCCAGCAGCGAATCCCGCCTGCTGGAAACGCACAGCTAAGCGCGATCGGTTCCAGGGGCGCTCTGGCACCTAGGACAGCCACCTGCACCTTCCAGACGGGCGGTATCCTAACCCAGAAAAGCTTGTCCACGGCCGCGATCATACACTCTACATAATCCGTTTTCAATCCACTTTCCAACTGGGCTTTACTGGTGTGAACTGGCAAAATCCAGTTGGAAAGTGCATTGAAAGTGGATTGAAGGTGTATCATTTAGGGTGCGTGACCGCAGCCCGCGATGGAGGCGTGTTTCAATCCGGCTCCAGTAGCGGAACCGGCCCAAGGGAGTCAGGGCTTCGTTCCTTCGCCCTTGGTCCTGTCCCTGGAAGGTCCGGGTCGTTCTAGCGGAGCAGGAAAGGGCTGTCGAATGCACGGAGGGCTGTCGAATGCACGTGTGAACACAGGCGTCGCAATCACGCATCGCCGGAGCCTGCACTAAAGCGCCGCCAGCCTTTCATCTCGGAGATGGGGGGCGGCGGCGGCGGGGGGGGGGGAAGTTAAATTATTGATAGCTTTGTTGAAAGGCAACAGGGTGCTGTTTTTAATTAATTTTATTCCTGTTTCTATTTCAATGATGGGGCAAAAATTGGTCGTGTGTGTGTGCGTGCGTGTATCTGTGAGCGGGTGGGGGGGGCCGCCTGGAACCGGTCGGTTTCTCCCCCCACCCCCAACCTTTCGAGGTGCAAGTTGTGGGGTCCCTATCCTGAAAACACTTGATCTCCTCGGCGTCCCAGGGTATTTTCAGGCGAGGGGTCCGAGGCCGCCCATCCATCACTGCCACTGGAAAGGAGGGATGCCGTCGGGGAACATGATGTGCCTGTGTGTGATGAAATTCTCGATCAGGGTTATTTTCAAATAAAAGTTGCAATTTTAATAATAATTTTAAAAAAGGGGGTTGCCGTGTGCTGATTGTCCGCCGCCTGTATCCCGGGAGGATACTGACTTGTGGTGCCGCAGTTCAGGCGATGCGGATTTTGAGAGCGAAGACTCTCAATACAATACAAGAACTCGTGGGCACTCCATGAAATTGCTGAGCGGTCGGGTTAGAACGGATAAAAGGAAGTACTTCTTCACCCAAAGAGTGATTAACACTTGGAATTCACTGCCACAGGAGGTGGTGGCGGCTACAAGCATGGACGGCTTCAAAAGGGAATTAGATAGGCATATGGAGCAGAGGTCCATCAGTCGCTATTAGCCACAAGGTATAGATAGGGACTCTGGGGCAAGTGATGCTCTGTCTTCTTGGTGCTTGGGGGGGGGGGTCAACAGTGGGAGGGCTTCTAATGTCCTGGCCCCACTGGTGGACCTCCTGATGGCACCTGGTATTTCTGGCCACTGTGTGACACAGAGTGTTGGACTGGATGGGCCTTTGGCCTGATCCGACATTGGCGTCTCTTCTGTTCTTATGTTAAGACCCTACACTAGGGTGGGCTCTGTCGAGGTGTTGGGGGAGGGGGGGGGGGGGGGGGCGGTGGAGTCCTGTCCATTTCTGAGAGGTTTAACGCAGCATGGGAATGGAAGCTTTTTCCTGGCAGGGAAGTAAACAGCAGCCACCTGATAACTGCTGCAAATCGAACTGTTTTCAAGGGACCGGTCAGGTCTGCCGGCGGCCTCCCCTGGAAAGTGCGACTGGATCCAAACAGTTCTAGAACGCCGGCCTTGCGCACCTTTGCCTCCCGGGGTGCAACCAGAGCGTCGCAGTCGTGCAGAGGTTCGTTAGGATTTCCTCCAAGTGCCCCTGCTGCCACCCATCCCAAGCACGTGTCCTCGAAAGAAGTCCCGCCGTGGGGACTTGAGTCCTTGCAGAGGGCAGCCTTCGTCGCTGTCCTCGTGTACGACAAGTCCGGCGGAGCCAAGGCTGAACCCCGGGGTCACCTTTAGCACTCACAAAGGCCGCAGGTCACACACACACACTAAAGGATCCACTTTTCATGCACTTTTCCAACTGGATTTTGCCAGTCCACGCAGTCCAGTCCAGTTGGAGAGTGCACTGAACGTGGATTGAAAGTGGACTACTGAGTGTGAATCAGATTATTATCGCACTTTCACACACACTAAATAACGTACTTTCAATCCACTTTCAGTGCACTTTGTGTTGGGTGATAGTGAGATATTGGAAAAAATGGTATTTAGCAGAGATAAAATAGTCTAGCAGATTCAGAGTAAAATAATTCAGACTGAGAGTCTATGTGTGCTTAAAATATAAAGTTTTTACTAAATTCTAGCATGGGATGAAAATAACAACAGAGCAAAATCGGCTACATCCTTACACTACAAAGACAAAACCAGAAGAGAGCAATTATGGCTACTCTTACTTCTTCAGAACAGCAAACAAAGACGGGAAGAGAAGCCATAAAATGGTAATACACCTTGACACTTTAGTCCCAATCAAATCCCTAGATCAGGGAGAAAATTCCCGGGCTTCCTACATCTAAAGAACATTGGTTACATGAGAAAGACGCGACTTCCTGTGAGTAACATAAACAAACATTTAACCCCTGACATACTGAGTGTTTTCAACTTGTAATACCCAACACTTTGCAACTGGATTTTACTGTGTGAAATGGCAAAATCCACTTTCAAATGGTCGCTGAAGTGGATTGAAACGGCATTATTTAGCATGTGTGAAAGTGTGAGACCGCAGGCAAAGTTTAATTCTGGGCGCAGACCAAGATGGGGACCCCGGTGGTAGAAAAGAGCATTTCAGGAGCGCCTGACAGACTGCCCACGTGGTGGCTTTCGTGAGTCGGCTCCCTGCCTCCAAGGTGCCCCGGGACTCCGACTTCGTTTGGCCGCTTCAGACCCACCCGGCTCCCGCCCAGTGTTCCCTCTAAGCTGAGTTGGTGTGAGCTAGCTCACCGTCTTTTAGCCTCCGGCTCACACATTTTTGCCTTCGCTCAGGAGAAGGATGGCTCCAGAGGAAACGAACTGACGCCGCAGCCAAATCGCTGGCTCGCAACTTTCATGCCAGGAGCTCACAAAGTGGAATTTTTGCTCACAAGACTCCACAGCTTAGAGGGAGCCTTGCCTCCACCCCCTTGAACCGACCAGCCCCGCGTGAGCCTGGCACAAGAAAGAACGGGGCCCACTCCTCTACTTTCAACCGCTGGCCGGGAAAAGGTGGCTTCTTTCGGAGGTGGCTTCTCTCCGGCCTGCGCGGCAGAACTGCGCCTGCCAACGTTGCCTCTCTCCTGTCCTGTCGGGCGGCCTGGCCGCATCTCCCTTCCAACGTTCCCTCTAACCTGTGGAGTCTTGTGAGCAAAAATTCTACTTTGTGAGCTACTGGCATTAAAGCTGTGAGTGAGCAGTTTGGCTACTACTGCATAAATTAGTTTGCTCTGGAGCCCTCCTTCCTGAGCCAAGACAAAAATGTGTGAGCCGGAGGCTAAAAACCTGTGGGCTAGCTCACACTAACTCACCTTAGAGGGAACACTGCTCCCTTCCCTCTTCCATGGCTGCTCTTGGGTGCAGGATATCACACACACACCTGGCAGCTTCTGATACTTTGCCTTTTCCAGCTGCAGGAAGAGGCAGGAATTCAACCAGGATGGACGGATTCCTGGATTCCTTTGCATTTCGCGTGTATTTCTACATAAGAGCAAGCATACAGATTTCCCGCACCCACCCCGTCCTGGATGGCGCAGGCTCTTGGCTTCTATTGGGATGGGAGACCTCCAAGGAAGTCCAGGGTCCTCCTGGCCCCGAGCCAGGCAATGGCAAACCACCCCCCCCACCCCCAGCACCTCTTGCCCTGAAAACCCGAGGGGGGTCGACATAAACCAGCGGCGACCGATGCTCCCTCTAAGCTGTGGAGTCCAGTGAGCAAAACTTCTACTCTGCGAGCGCTTGGCATTCGAGTGGCGAG